TGGACAGACTGTATATTCAGAATTTTCCATTCGATTTCAAGGTGCTGAGATCAACAATAATGCCACGGTAATTTACAAACGGCAAAAAATTTACGTCAAGTGAAAACTGACGTCACGATTTCGTAAGTAGGGACAGACCATAGCACAGTTGCCATATGTTGGAATACGATTGGAACTTAGGAAATATTCAATAATTTATGAATTCTCAATATTGTATTGGCTATTTTCCCAATTAGACATAAAAATCAATTGTCTCAAGATATTCCCTCATCTGGTGTGGCTTATTGTTTATAAATCATTTGTGTTAATATTAATATTATTATATTAATTCACACTAGAGGATATTTGAGGGTAAACGTATCAACCCGGCGCACGAATTTGGGCGGTGCCTTGTCAGTTCTCAGCATTCAGCACATTGTTGCCCAAGTCTTCAACATCAACATGATATTTTGTTATAGGGTACAAGAGATATTCAGACATGCTGGTTGCTCGAATAAGTCAAGAATGATCTATAATATCATGGCTTACTCTTATTATCTTTAATCTCGTGTTTTATCCAACGACAGGATTCTAATCTTTATGATAAATTGATTATAATTGGTGACTTGACCACGTTGCTTCATGAGTGGATATGAAAGATTATTTTTGCAGTATTGCAGAATCATTGCAGAGAAAAGTGTTGTTTATCTGCCTGCCTCGTCTTCATTGAGATGGTTGATAAATTGATGAATTACAAAAATATATCGCGTTCCAGTTACGAATGTTGAAAATATTCAGGTATGTTTCAGATTCAACATCCATGTTCCGCCTCTCATGAAAATCAGTATTAAATTTCATGGACTTCGATATTTGATGTCATGTTTATTTGCAGACTGAGAAGCAATGTGTTTGATACTTGCCACTGAATCGGAGAAAACCATCCAGTCACGACAAATCGAACAAAAGATCCGCAAAGAGAAATGGTCAGAGTATACTTTACAGAATTCAGATCCTTATATTCGTACGGAAGGCGATATATTGATATCCTTTCCAGATTCTCAGGAAAACAGATAAGACAGATATTCACCTTTATGTCTCTATGGAAACACGACAGGTACCCTTACGAGGGGAGAGTATCAACTCGGCGTTTATAAACCCTCTCTGCAAAGGAGGTAGGCGCATGGTGGGTTAGGTATATACAGTGTTCTTCATTGCAGAGAAAATTGTTGTTTATCTGCCTGTCTCGTCTTCATTGAGATAGTTGATGAATTGATGAATTACAAAAATATATCGCCTTCCAGTTACGAATGTTGAAAACAATATCCAGACTTTTCATAGATTTATATTCTATGTAGATCTCACGATTCAAATTTGAAATTGATAATTAGTTTTAGATCCAAGCAGCACATTGTTTGGCCTTCAAGGTCCTTAATATAACCCACGTAATTGAAAATGTGGAAGATGCCTACTGGAAAAACCACTATTCGGAAAAAAAGCGGATATGTAGCAATCCAGTTACGGACGATGAAAATATCATTCAGGTATGTCTCAGATTCAACATCCATGTACTTCATCTGATGATATTAATTTCCTGATTCAAATGTACTTCGATTAATATGTGATGTTTAGTTGCAGATCCGAAAACTAGTGTTTGATACTTGCCACTCAATCGGAGAAAACTCAGTGAAGACGAACCGAACAGAAGATCCGCAAGGAGAACTGACCAGAGTATACTTTACAGAATTCAGATCATTATATTCATACGGAAGGCGATATATTGATATCCTTTCCAGATTCTCAAGAAAACAGATAAGACAGATATTCACCTTTATGTCTCTATGGAAACACGACAGGTACCCTTACGAGGGGAGAGTATCAACTCAGCGTTTATAAACCCTCTCTGCAAAGGAGGTAGGCGCATGGTGGGTTAGGTATATACAGTGTTCTTCATTGCAGAGAAAATTGTTGTTTATCTGCCTGCCTCGTCTTCATTGAGATAGTTGTTGATAGTAATTGATGAATTACAATAATATATCGCGTTCCAGTTACGAATGTTGAAAACAATATCCAGACTTTTCATAGATTTATATTCTATCTCACGATTCAAATTTGAAATTGATAATTAGTTTTAGATCCGAGCAGCACATTGTTTGGCCTTCAAGGGCCTTGATATAACCCACGTAATTGAAAATGTGGAAGATGCCTACTGGAAAAACCACTATTCGGAAAAAAAGCGGATATGTAGCAATCCAGTTACGGACGATGAAAATATCACTCTGGTATGTCTCAGATTCAACATCCATGTAATTTTTCTAATGATATTTTCTGATTTAAATGTACTTCGATTAAAATGGGATGTTTAGTTGCAGATCCGAGAAGTAGGGTTTGATACTTGCCACTCAATCGGAGAAAACTATCCAGTAAATACGAACCGAACAGAAGATCGGCAAGGAGAACTGACCAGAGTATACTTTACAGAATTCAGATCATTATATTCGTACGAAAGGCGATATATTGATTACCTTTCCAGATTCTCAAGCAGACAGATAGACAGATATTCAGCTTTATGTCTCTATGGAAACACGACAGGTACCCTTACGAGGGGAGAGTATCAACTCGGCGTTTATAAACCCTCTCTGCAAAGGAGGTAGGCGCATGGTGGGTTAGGTATATACAGTGTTCTTCATTACAGAGAAAATTGTTGTTTATCTGCCTGCCTCGTCTTCATTGAGATAGTCGATGAATTGATTAATTATAAAAATATATCGCGTTTCAGTTACGAATGTTGAAAACAATATCCAGCTTTTCATAGAATTATATTTTATGTTGGTCTCACGATTCAAATTTGAAATTGATTCTAAGTTTTAGATCCGAACAGCACATTGTTTGGCATGCAAGGTCCTTAATATAACCCACGTAATTGAAAATGTGGAAGATGCCTACTGGAAAAAACTATTCGGAAAGAAAGCGGATATGTAGCAATCCAGTTACGGACGATGAAAATATCATTCAGGTATGTCTCAGATTCAACATCCATGTACTTCATCTGATGATATCAATTTCCTGATTCGAATGTACTTCGATTAATATGTGATGTTTAGTTGCAGATCCGAAAACCAGTGTTTGATACTTGCCACTCAATCGGAGAAAACCCAGTCAAGACGAACCGAACAGAAGATCCGCAAGGAGAACTGACCAGAGTATACTTTACAGAATTCAGATCATTATATTCATACGGAAGGCAATATATTGATATCCTTTCCAGATTCTCAAGAAAACAGATAAGACAGATATTCACCTTTATGTCTCTATGGAAACACGACAGGTACCCTTACGAGGGGAGAGTATCAACTCGGCGTTTATAAACCCTCTCTGCAAAGGAGGTAGGCGCATGGTGGGTTAGGTATATACAGTGTTCTTCATTGCAGAGAAAATTGTTGTTTATCTGCCTGTCTCGTCTTCATTGAGATAGTTGATGAATTTCAAAAATATATCGCGTTCCAGTTATGAATGTTGAAAACAATATCCAGACTTTTCATAGATTTATATTCTATGTAGGTCTCACGATTCAAGTTTGAAATTGATACTTAGTTTTAGATCCGAGCAGCATATTGTTTGGCCTTCAAGGTCCTTCATATAACCCACGTAATTGAAAATGTAAAAGATGCCTACTGGAGAAACCACTATACGGAAAGAAAGCGAATATGTAGCGATCCAGTTACGGACGTTGAAAATATTATTCAGGTATGTTTCTGATTTAGATGTACTTCGATTAAAATGTGATGTTTAGTTGCAGATCCGAGAAGCAGTGTTTGATACTTACCACTCAATCGGAGAAAACTATCCAGTAAATACGAACCGTACAGAAGATTGGCAAGGAGACCAGAGTATACTTTACAGAATTCAGATCATTATATTCGTATGGAAGGCGATATATTGATTACCTTCCCAGACAAATATCTTGTACCAAATAGAATATTATGATTTATTACAGGGTGAGCAGGAATACTAGCGGCAGATTAAAACATGTCAATAAATAAATGCTTCAGGTATTGCATTATAGTGGGAAATGTGCAAGAAATTTACATACCGGGTGGCCATCGAAGACGATCCACCCAAGTTTTCTCCGTTGTGTTGCAATTAATGAAAAATTGCTCGAACAGGTCGATTAAAATTTGGCGGAGGACACAGTTGTCTGCAGTTGTCATATTCCAAAGTGCAAACCTTGAAGCGTAACGGGCATCAACTTTCGATTTTAAAATGAAACACCCTGTATTTCATTGATTGTTTACATTCACCCTGAAGAGCTGATTACATCAATGTGGGGTCTAACGAGAATGATTACGAGCACTTTTACTAATTTCTTAATTCATATTTAACATTTTTCAATTTTCAGATGAACGGTTTTTGCAATAGCTAAAAGTTGATTAATTTTCACTCATTTTCAAATTCAAACTCAACTTTTTTCAACAAAATAAATTTCGAATTTTTCAACTCTTCCTGATGTCTTTTTCAACAGCTTAATGATTACTTACTTACAGGAACGCACTGATGATTTTAATTTTCGTTTTAAAGTGAACTGTTACCTTACATTTTCAACACAAACAATTTTTGGCCAAACAACTTATTTTGGCGAGATGTATACCCTGTTAAATAAAAAACCTCACTTTCAGATTCACCCTGTAAAGTCTAAAGCGCTCTGCTACGAGAAAAATTTGAATACATTTTTTGCACGAAATATATTTTGTACTATTTTGGTATTTCTGACAAGGACAAGACGGTGGCACACACTCTCGATTTCTATTCCACTGCAATACAGGGTTCGGAATATGATAATTGCAGAAAAAAGTGTCCTCCATCTTAAAATCGAACTGTCCTAGCGGTTTTTCATTAATTGAAACACAACTGATAAAACTCGGGTAGATCCTCTTCGATGGGCCACCCGGTATGTACCCTTAAGGAAAATGTTTATAACCCTTTTACGTCATGTGACGTCACTGACCCTGCTCTGTTGTATGTACCTTTTCGCGCATCCAGTCCGGCATCGTCTCGTCGTCGATCATGCCGCCATCTTCGAGCAGGTCGAGGTCGATGTCCTCTTTGATCTTGTTGAAGGGCACGTACGAGACGCCGAGATCGCCCTCCCAATAGTCCTTCAGGTCCTTGCCTTTCACCCCTTTGCCGGGCGCCCAGGCCAACTGAAGGGCGAAGAAGATATATGGTAGTCAGTGACGGATTTTACAAACGGTACGAGAAACATGATGGTCAGGGAAATCTTTTGGCGACATATTTAGATGAAGGTTCTTGTCATACATGCTGTCCAAAAAGGTTATATCGTGAATGATAGGGCTGATAGAGTGCAGAGTTGCCAATAGGTCTATCTTGATTAACTCACAAAAATATGTGGGATCACTCACAATCACTCACAACTAACAAAATATCAACATCAAGGCAGATTTTTCATGAATAAATGATACAAAACGAAGGTGGAACGAAAAATTTGGTAATAAACTTATAACTTTTGCATTTTTCTGCCACAGAATAATCTCAACCTCATCTCATCTGTCAATAAGATAAGACCGGTTTCAGCAGATGACAGATCGAGAGGACCTTGAGACTGAGAATAATTAGTGAACAGTGAGAACTTTACTTTATAACCCTTTTATCCTTAATGCAGTAAGATATAGTATTTGGTCTAATGTACATTGCATAGCACAGGTATGCTGTCACAAGTCATTGTCTTCTCCGCTTCTTCTTATATCTTTCCTTCATCTCATCAAGGTTGAAGGTTCAGTGGGGGTAACGCGTGGATTTCAGATCAATGCATGTCATTCAGCTTGAATGTCGCTGACCTCTGATAAGTCACAAATAGGCCATCACTCACAAAATCACCCACTGTCCCTGAAATAACTCACAAATTGGCAACCCTGATAGAGTGAGCCAAAATATACTTCATATGAATAAATTGTCTATCACACTACGTTACCAAAGTATTGAATACTGTCAAAATAATTCGATGTCAATTATGACAATGACTGCAACCACCAGGATGCTATTCAATAAATAGAGTTTGTATTACCTGTGAAACCGTTGGGATGTATGTTTTAAAATGCGATGTTCTCAAGAAGGTTACAAGATATCGATTAATAGAAGTTTAGTTTTATTTGGGTCAAGTGATACTTTGTTTGACAAAGGAATTTTGCATTTGCGAGGCGGACCGTCTAGCGAAGCCAAGCGAAAGCAAAATATGCAAGTCAATCAAAGTTACTTTTGATCCAAATGGAACATGCTGTTTTTTCTGCAGCCGAAAGAATTAACTGAATTAAATATGTGAAGTAACCATCAATGCCGTTCCATATGTGTGCAATGCAACAAATGATCCGTATGGTGAGAACTACCTGCATGAACAGATCAGATTTATTCAATGTTCAAATATGTTCGAATACTAGTTTCAATATAAGTACAACCACAGAATGTATGGAGCAGATGTCAACCATAATAGCAAATACCGCGACAGTGCCAGGTATGAAAATGTTAATCAAATAAAGGTAAACAATATCGTTGTGTGAGACAAAAAAGTATTGCTGGCCGTGATTATCCAAAAACAAGTTATCCATCCCGAGAATAACGAATGAAATACAGATCAAGCAAGTATGTGAATCTTGAAGGCTTTCCTGATCAAAACAAAAATACTCAAGTATAATATGGTGTAATTATATCTCCAGCATGGGTATGAAATGTCAAATCTACCGGATTTGGAAACAAATCATGTATGCGTCCCAACCCAAATAACCAACCGTAACAATGTTAAAATGGACGACTTTTGTGTTGGTTGCAGAAAAAATAAAGTATTCTATCTTCTAATTAATTCGCCTGCATATCAATGATACCATGGCAATCCTTTGAAAGTTATACAAGATGTATATATTTTTTTTTCATTCAAACATTCAAGGTCAACAACTTATTATCTCCACCATTCGCGATTTCATTCATCTATCGGTGTTTGGCGTTTGATATTATTGGTGTATACTTTTCAATGATTCATGAATGGATCGCGTTGTCTACATACTGTTCTAAGACGTGAACTCACCGTTATGTCCTTCCCGTGTAGCATGTGCCCCTTCAACTTGCCCAGGCAGCGGGCAACATCACGATGAAAGCGCACCCTCTCGGAATATCAATTATGTAGCAATGATTCCGCAGAGTTATCCCCACCATTCGCGATTTCATTCATTCATACGTGTTTGGCGTATACTTTTCGATGATTTATGAATGAATCGCACTGTCTAGCTATCGTTATTTCGTCTGAGCACTCACCCGCAAATGTACGGGGTGAACAACTAAGAACGGCTGTCGGCCATATCTCAGCAACGAATAATGATACATGTTTTGAAATATGATAAATCTCATGGTATGCATATAATTACACGATGTAGTAGAGAAACTAAATTTCAACAGACCAACAAAAACAGCAACATGGTAGCTTTTCGCCAACGGAAGATATCAACTATGGAAGTTGGAGGAATGATAGATATGACAGCCGTTCTTAGTTGTTTACCCGGTACAAGTATCTGTAATTGTCCCCACTATTCGCGATTTCGTTCATTTATCCTTGTTCGACGTTTAGGAAGATTGTTAGCATATACTTTTCTTTTATTTATAAATGAATCGCGCTGTATAACTATTGTTATTTAGTCTGAGCACTCACCCGCAAATGTACAAGTGTCTTTAATTATACCCACCATTCGCGATTTCGTGCATTTTTCCTTTTTCGGCGTTCAGGATGATAGTTAGCGTATAGTTTTCAATGATTTATGAATGAATCGCGCTGTCTAACAATTGTTATCTAGTCTGAGCATTCACTTATTATCCCCACTATTCGCGATTTCGTTCATTTATCCTTGTTCGGCGTTTAGGATGACTATTGGCGAATACTTTTCAATCATTCATAAATGAATCGCGGTGTCTAACTATTGTTATCTAGTCTGTGCATTCACTTATTATCCCCACTATTCGCGATTTCGTTCATTTATCCTTGTTCGGCGTTTAGGATGATAGTTAGCGTATAGTTTTCAATGATTTATGAATGAATCGCTGTCTAACTATTGTTATCTAGTCTGAGCACTCATCCGCGAATGTACATGTGTCTGTTATTATCTCCACTATTCGTGATTTCGTTCATTCATTCGTGTTCGGTGTGTAGGATGATAGTTGACGTAACTTTTCTCAATGATCCATGAATGAATCGCGGTGTCTACATATTGTTCTAAGGCGTGAACTCACCGTTATGGCCTTCCCGTGCAGCATGTGGCCCTTCAACTTGCCCAGACAGCGGGCGGCGTCCTGCCGGCGCAGCATCACGATGAAGGCGCACCCTCGCGGCGGGATCAGATCGATGCTGACGACGTCGCCGAACTCGCCGAACGTGTTCGACAAGTCGTCCTGGTGGACCAGCTTCGACAGGTGGCCCACCCACAAGGTGGTACTGCAAACTGAATATCGGAAACGGTTAAAGGAGCATTTCCTAAATAACATCCAAAAAATTAAAGGGGTGATTCCTTGTGTTATTTGAGGAAATCAAGTTCATTTTTTTTATTTTTTCATGTTCTGGTTCCAAAAAAGGAAATCCTGTAATGTTCAGAGAACATCGTGAGAACCAAGAGAAAAAAAATATCTGAAAATGGTTGAATTTTTGGCATGTTGTAGATAAGAATGAACTGATGAAAAAATCCAATTGACCTAACCTCCAAAAATTGTTTTCTCGAAAAAACGACATTTGGAGGTAAATATCGGAAAAACTGTCCATTTTTTGAGGTTAGTTCAATGAAATATCTGATCAGTATATCAAAGTCTACAATATACCAAAGATTCAGCGATTTTTATCGAGAGCCATTTTTCCTATTCTCGGGAATAAATGTTACCAGGAGGCGCTCGGTTTTCATCGTTCCATGTCAAAGCCACGTCAAAACTGGTGGAAAACGAACTCAATCCTTACTCAATTCAATTAGTGCCATTAGCTTGTGTACTGTGTACTGATAAGAGTGATAAGTTTTTACATTTCTTGACATTAATTGTCAATATTCGATCGAAAACGCCTATTGTAGATCTTTTGGCAGATATTTTGCTCTATTTAGATGGAAAAAGCCGACCAGTAGTGGAAGGAGAAGCAGCTCTCCGTGCTAATCATGTGATTTTGTGTGAGGCAGAAAACTTCAGCAAAAGGCACATTTTTGCACTTTGTCTACAAAGTTCGGCGATGAAATCTTCCCCGCATGAAGTAAAATTGAAGTTTGGGTCCAGAGGAACTCTTGTAGAACAATGGATTGGTATTTGTTCATGCAAAGCAGGACAATCTGGGTGTTGTAGCTGTTCTTTTATATGTCAATTGATTTGCTCGTCATAATTAGTTCGAATTGTTTGAACTATCTCCAATTCTTCACCCGTTCACTGTTCACTAAACTAATAAAAATGTTATAATGTAAAAAAATTTACCAACTCAACCATCATCACTACCAACGGTGCCAACACTTTATGTCATTGACAAGTTTGACTACAGCTCATCAAGCTGAATGCAATGTAATCTATGCACTTTATCCATAGACAACAGTTTGTTTTCACCCAGTTTGAAGTTCGTATTATGTAACTTAGATGTCGCCCACTTCGTGAATCTCACGAATAGTTTAGTGCGGAGTCCTTTTTTATATGTTACAATACGTGAGCGCGACAATAGAAACCTTACCGCTCAGATGGTCCTTCTTGATGGCCGGCAAACCCCGCTTCTTCCTCTCCTTGTCCCGCTCGCTCTCTCTCTCCTTCTCCTCCCGCTTCTCCTTCTCCCTCTCCTTCTCCTTCCCCTTGCCCTTGTCGTTGCGTTCCCGCGACCGAGACCTGTACCGTCTGCTGCCCGATCGCGATCTCGATCGCTTCCTGTCTCTTTCTCTGTCCCTGCCTCTCCTGTCTCTCGACCTGATAATAACAATGATTGGTGTGATTGAACTGATCAAAGTGAAACTGAAGTGAATTCAATAATACTATCGTTTATTGTGCACAACAATGTTACACATAAAAGGCAGGGGTTAGCCTATGGCTATCTACCTCCCTCCCTTAAAATACAATTTCACAACATTAGTATTTATAATCGAGCATTCTCTTAACTACATTGTTTAGTATTTAGCAAAAAAGTGCATTCATTATTCTTAATTTGTACAAGTTTCAAAATTTATCGAATATAATGTTGTAATAGTGAAAGCTATATTAAATAATTTTATAAGTTTGGTTGACACATGAAAAAAAAAAGATAATAAGAGAACAGTAGGTATAATAGAAGTAACAATTATACTAGTCTGTTATACTTGATATCAGAATATTCTTTAGTTAAGATCTCACTTGGAATTCTGTTAAATCCAATAATGAAATGAACTTATTCAAACAAGATGGTGCCAAATATGAAAAACATCCTTTGTATTTCCATGTAAATGTGGAAAGCTGTATTATTGTTCCAGTTGTCACTATTAGAACGAAAGAAGGGATCAGAGATCAGTCCGTCCACTTTTTCAAAAAACTGAAGGTTATGAATTAAGTCAATCAACTTTTTATGAAGTGCTTCTTTTTATTCAAGTCACAGGGAAACGTTAAAAAAATGCTTGAATATACAAGTCAATGGAAATGTAATCCCATACCAAGAAACAGTTAAATCTCTAGGGGTTATTATTGACAGCAATCTGAAATTTGTTAATCAAACCATCTTTTTGATTAGGAAAGCATTCTTTAGTCTGCGACTGCTATTCGCTAATAGATATGTTCTGGATTAAAATCTGAGACTAATGCTATCGAATACATTAGTTCTATCCTACTTTAACTATTGTGATTTCGTTTATGGCCCCTTTCTTGACGTTACTCAGGAGACTCGCATACCAAAACTACAGAATTCCTGTTGTCGGTTTATCTTTGGACTTGAACTCATCTTCAGAAACGCTGTGCACAATATTAATATTCGATTTCCCCACAAATTGAGTATACCACGTCATGTCAGTGCCATCTTTAGGAAAGGATTTTCGTTTACGGCTCCGTCACTGTTCAATACTATTCCAAATAGCATAGGTATCTCAAGTTCATTCAGTTTCAAGAGGAAGATTAAAATCCAACTACTACTACAACAATGACTCTTGCTAAACCAATACGTATCCTGACCGTTTTTTCCCTATTTCTATGATGATTTTTGTTGTGGTCCGATCCGTCACCTGAAGTTAAACAATGTTATCTTTTTGTTACTTTTTCTTGATTATTTTTTTGTTTTTATTATTTAATGTATATGTATGTATATACATATAAAGAATAAGTTCAATATTACACGATAATATTGTTCATAGTCTGTTAGTAGTCATTCCAGGACATACCTGGATGCACACACCATGCCAATGCTTTATTAAGGTTCAAGTGTAAGAATAGCGTTCGCTAAACTTCACCTTTCTGAAGTGCGGTTTTTTGATGAATAAAGACGATTATTATTAATATTTCAATCTGGGTGACTCAGGAGACATGAACAGCCTGTAGTTTTTTATTTGAAGAGATACAAATTTGAAATTTCGCATAAGATAGACTACAGAAATATACAGGGTGCCATTGATAATATAACTCTTGTGAATTTTCAAATTTATTTCTCTTCAAATAAAAAAAACTACAGACTGTTACATGTCTCCTGTGCCAACCGGTATATACAGATTGTTTGCCCAATCGTTACACGATTGGCATGTAAATGGCAACATAGCAAGAGGGCACGTTACGCTAGGACTACCACTAGTGTCGCAAGGAACTTATAAAATACAGAGTGTTCCATTTGAACAATCATGAGCTTGAGTCGTATCTCCAACTGCAGCCTATGGCCTATTGTGGCTCACCCTTTGGTTATATTTCTTCCAGTATATCTAATCTCTTGGCAAAATCGAGAAGTACGTTGGGAGAACAATTTATCAGGTTTTCTGGCCCTACTGTTGTATTGCCAAATGTTGAAAATTTGATTCTGGCCGCTTCAGGGCATGTAAAATGTGTTTAGCCGTTTTATCCTCCTCCATGCATAGACGGCATTCTGCATCTTGTGCAAGTCCGATTTTGTGCATGTGGTGTTTGAGTTTGCAGTGGCCAGTGAGCAAACCTACTATAACTGAGATGTGCTCTACTGAGTTCTAGTAGTTTGACAGAGTCCTGTTTGTTCCTTGTACAAGTAATGAATGCTTTGGAATGGGCTAGGCCCGGTAGACTACGCCAATACTCGAGTCTTTTGTTGTCGATTACCCAGTTTCGTTTCGTTTCCGTCTAGGCCCGTGTGACCTGGTATCCAGACTAGGTTATCGCTATTGCGTTGTGCCAGTCGGTTTTAGGATTCAAAGTAGTTGGATTCAAGTGCTTCCAGTGCTTCTTGACTATCTGAGAATATCTTTATTGTTTTTTGTGTGTGGTCCTTGCACACATTTCGATAGCATATACCTCTGCCTGGAATACTGTAGCTAGTATACCCTAGAGTTTCTAAATGTATTTGACACTGCTGTTTTGACATTTTTTGTATATTAGAGTACGGACACTATGACAAGCTCTGACAATCAGACATAACCACAAATAAATTGGTATGAAAAGCGGGAACTGACCGTACACGGACGTAAATGACATAAATTTCAAAGGTTTGACAAATTGAGAAAATTCGGAGAAAAATGCAAGTTTGTGCAGTTTCCAACTGTGAGAACAAGGGAAATCAATTAATTCTATTCGAATTTCCATCGGAAAACGTGTATAGCTTCTTCAAAGTTGAAATCCCAAGTCTGAATGTGCATGTTCATGCGTAGTTGAGAAGTTCTAGACGACTGCATATAGCTCCTAGTGGATTTTGAACCACTTCTTGGGTACCAAGATACTAGCAAGATATCATCAGAGCACAGAACAAGAACGCTTAACGAGTGTACCATTTATGTTAAGTATTGAAAATGATCTTCCGCTGGCCGGGTTCAAACCAACAATCCCCTTTAGCAATGTGAACGGCGATCTATAGTGAGTCGAGCGCTAAAGTCCATTTATACCTATTTCTTGGAGAACCTTTTTTATCCTAACTGAAATCAGCTGTTATTGTTGCCATATCATTTGTTCATTGATGCATTTCTTATTACCTATCACTCTTGTACAAGTGAAATTGTTCCATACAAAATAAAAGTATGTTTCAATGGTTAAAATTCATCAGTTTTTACCCAATTCTGAACTTTAGTGAAAAAAAAATATTCAACTGAACTATATGTATACCTTCATATAAGAGAATTAATTTATAGGAATAGTATATGTATTTCGTTGGTATATATGTAAATACCAACTTGATATCGACTTCCATTGAGGTCCTTCAGCCTTATCATTCAATATTTCGAGAAGAAATAATTTTCTGATCAATTTATCCTTCCCCTTTTATCCACTCGAGGAGATGCTATGCACTCTCATATAAAAATCAAAGACAGAGAAAGATATATGGATGTACTCTTCCCAGGACTTGTGGAGGAAGGAAGATGCGAGGATCCTTTGTCTAAGCGAAAAACATATTCTTATCCTTGTCTGGCAAAACATATGATTTGCTTCAAAATTGTTTGTGGTTATGTCTGATTGTCAGTGCTTGTCATAGTGTCCATACTCTAATGTACAAAAAACAACAAAACAGCACAAGTGTCAAGTATATTTAGGAACTCTCATTTACCCATACTGAATGAGTGTTTCACTACTTGGTTCATCCCGAATATTCCGGTTCCGACGCCTTCCAAAGTTTTGGAGCCATCGGTATGTATACCAGCATTCATTTGCCAATACGTAACTTTAAAAAAAAAACATCACAATAGTCATGATAAGTGCAAAATTACCAATATTTTTTCATTACTGATTTGATCTTACGATTTCCCATAGATCTTCCCCCGTTCCCTTACCTCGACCGGCTGCGCCTCCTCTTCCTGTACTTGTCGTCCGGCGACGCCGACCGCGAATCGTCGTTGTCCAAGTTGATCACCTCCACGTCGCCGCCGTCGTCCAGCCCGCCGATCAGCGGCGGCTGCGGCGGCAGGGGCGGCGGCGGCGCGAACTCCACCGGCTGGTAGGCGGGCGCGGGCGGGTTCATGCCGTCGATGTAGAAGGGCCCGCCCATCGATTGCTGGAAGTCGCATTCCGACGCGAAGGGCAGGTTCTGTGGAGGAAGTTAGGAAATTCTCTTTTTTTATCGGTTGGTATACACGAAAGGGAATCCCTATGATGTTCGAAGAACATTTATTTATTTGAAAAGATTACAAACAGGTTTATTCGATTACCAAAAGGAAAGTCATCCTCTGAAATACACTATTGCCAAATTTCATCAAATTCCTTTCATTTATTTCTGAACAGCATACAAAAATTAGTTTTTTATGTGAACTTTGAACCTTTCTCACGGACAAACGGTACATTTTGGCAAATAAATAATTTGGGTCCAATCAACTTATTTTGACCTCCTTTCCATGTGTTACCTCTGTGTCACAGCAATTTTGGGACACCTTGTATAACAGAATCAATTCTGAATGAAACGGATTTTCTCCTTTTCGCATTGTTTGAACATAAGAAAAAATATATCTACACTAGAAACTCTATCAACACTTCTAGATATAGTAGATATGGGAGAATTAAAATGATGCACTGTATTGGAAATAGAAATATAAAATGTGTTACAAAACCTAGATGAAATACGAGGTACATTGAATAGCATATGGGGTGCACAATCTATTTGTCCATGTATGATTTTATATACAAAACATATCTCGGCTATCCCTGAATTTCTTTAGAGATAACATATGAAACTCGTCCAACAATGAATCATAGCTATTTATTTTTTTTTTTTTATTTATTTATTTATTCATCCACGTTACAAAATTAAATTCATTTGTGGAAAGTCAAGACAAGGCAAAGTATATAGGTAAAAATTTGAATTAGAATGATACAATACAAAAAAAAAATACAGATTAAAATTAAACTGGGTGAAGACTGATCCCCCATGTTTTTTTGAATATACATATTTCAAGAATTTTTGTTTTGAACATTTTCTAAGCTAGATATATGTTTCATATGCGACGGATTCCAAACGACACTGCAGTACTCTAATTTGCTCCTGATCAGTGTGATATTAATGAATTTCAATGAGTTAAAGGTCCTGAATTCCTTGCAGTTGCGTATCAAAAAACCAAAATTCTTCATTGAAGTTGATATCACATTCACAAAGTGAATGGAACACGTGAGTTTTTGATCAAACAGAACCCCTAGATCCTTTGATTCCGCATCTGCATTAAACTTTCACCATCTAGTATATAGTTGAATGTTACTGGTAGGATTTTAGGAGCGAATGTCATGATTTTACATTTTTTTCTAAGTACAATTTATTATGATTACACCAATTGGTCAAAGATTTTTAGTCCTCCTGCAATGTGAAACAGTCTGCCTCACCTTTTATTACACGATATATCTTCATGTCTTCTGCAAATAGCAGTTTATGTGAAGTGATGCCATCGGCTATGTCATTTATAAATATATAAATAATAATGGCCCAAGATTTGACCCTTGTGGGACACCCGAACTCGCTAAAATACCTATATAACTAAATGTGTGAATAAAAAAGGAAGAAAAAATAACGAGATGAGGAGAAAACATTTTTAAACAAGGCGAAATAGTTGTATATTTATAATGAGTGAATGAAGCTGGAAAAGGCGATTGAAGAGATAGTATGTTCAGAATTCCACCATCATTGCTTGGCATATAGAATTCTTGAATGAAGCAAGATCCATATTGAAAAGATCAATTTACACTAATCTTTCCGAGACAATCAGAGAACTCATTAAATAATGCGCATATATTGTCAATTAAATAAGGAGTTTTGTTTATAATTTTACCGGCACAGTCTGGGCTAAATGTTTGTCAAATTCGTCTTCTTGTTGTTTCATTTCTTGAAGTTTCCTCATTTTATCCATGTCCACTTCCGGTTGGGATGCACTAGCCATTGTTTGCTGCAATGTCTGTAATTGCCGCAGAACTTCAGGATTCGTGAGTAGGCTGAAACAAACATAGTGTTAGAGACGGTGTTCAAATCACCCCGTAAATGAGAAGAACGCCTAAGGAATGCCTTATCACGAGCGGCCTCGACGACTCATCGGTATTCGTAACCATCGTGTGATAAAAGACTGAAGCAGGTTCAGTCGATGAATATAGTAGTACGAATCACTTGTGGATGTTTTATAAATGGTCATCTTTGTACAAGCCGTCCTGAGTGAATAAAAATGTGTTTGAGTGTTGAAATTGTGTATATCTACGATGCCCTCCTTTTTGAATCTTTCAATAGAATTTTTGAAAGTAATACAAATCCAATATTCACCACTGATTATTCAGAATTTGAATTTCAGAAGGTATCATGAAGTATCATCTCTTTTCTATTCGCAATTGAATTGTGTGCTAGAGAGTTGTCAAATAAAGCTATAGTAAACAAAAACATCAGTATTGTATCAGACAGTCAGGCTGCTCTTAAAGCACTGAGCTCCAGCAAGATAAATTCCAAGCTTGTATGGAGCTAAATACTGTCTGTAGGTTAATCGAGGAGGTGGTATATTCATTATTCCAAATTTTTTTTTTTGGGATTTTCTCTCCTCGTTTCTATAAAATAAAAATATGAATATTATTTCAATATACGTGTAGTAAGGACAAATCAGATGATTTGCCCCAAAATGTCACTGCGTTTAAAGAATTTTCCTATCAGAGAGCCTAAAAGAAAAATTCACTAGCTTGTCAGTGACAATTTGTATTGAAAAAATTTTTGGAGAAGGGAAATAAAGGTATATAGAAAGAATATCAAATTTTCACTTATCTTGTTGAAAACGGGAGCAGAACCGGTCCCGAAACGTCCAAAGATAAGTGAAAATTTGATATTCTTTCTATATACCTTTATTTCCCTTCTCCAAAAATTTTTTCAATACAAATTGTCACTGACAAGCTAGTGAATTTTTCTTTTAGGCTCTCTGATAGGAAAATTCTTTAAACGCAGTGACATTTTGGGGCAAATCATCTGATTTGTCCTTACTACACGTATATTGAAATAATATTCATATTTTTATTTTATAGAAACGAGGAGAGAAAATCCCAAAAAAAAAAAAATTTGGAATAATTGTATGGAGCTGCATTGAATCCCTAGAATGCCTGGGTGCTAACAACAGAGTCACTTTGCTGTGGGTGCCTGGACACCAGGGGGTGGAGGGTAACGAGAAAGCCGACATCCTCGCCAAACAGGGAACCGAATCTGTGTTCATAGGACCAGAACCATATTTTGGGGTCACCGCAAGTGCGGCGAAAACAACTATCTCGGGCTGGGCGGACGGAAAAACACTCACGTACTGGTCTGAATTACCAGGATTAAACCATTCGAAGGCGTTCCTGCCTAAACCATCGGAAAAAATAACCAGGCAGATCCTAGAATGAAGCAGGGGTAACCTGCGAATTCTGACTAGACTGCTTACGGGACACTGTCGTCTAAGATACCACCTGGGAAGGATGGGTCTGAACCAACAAACGGACTGTCGGTTCTGTTGTGTGGAAGACGAAACGGCTGAACACATATATTGTTCATGCTCTAGCTTAGAAAGACTAAGGTTCGACACATTTGGCTTTACCAATTTAGAACCTATCGATTTCAGACAAATCTCACCCAATTCAACCATGAACTTTGTAAAAAGATGTGGATTGTACGGTGAACTGTAACCTCTAGGGGTGAGCCACAATAGACCCATCTGGGGTCGCAGTGGAGGGGAGGTATTCGCCCCACTCACATGGAACCTAACCTAACCTAACCCATCATCTCTTTTCATTCAGGCTACCAATTCCTTTTAACCCGTCGTCACCCAGGTGGAAAATCGGTACATTATCACCCAGATGGGGTCTGATGTACCCAATAATTATTAACACAAGGAAAAAAACTATAAGGAATATTACATTTGTATGTGAAATGAGTTTTTAGAAGTATTTACTTCTTGATTATAAACAGAAACTTCTTGTAATAAGTTTGATTCATGAGATATCATCAAAGACATATAAATTGCGAAATTCTCATGGGAAAAAATATGATATATTAGGTACAAAGTTTTTCCTACGTGTGTTTTTGTCCATATTATTTAAAAAAAAAAGGTTTTTAACGAACAATATTTTATAATGATGCTACAAAATGACACATAAGAAAGAATAGTCACATGGATCATTTAGTTAGTCCTAAATATCCTTATTTTCAACAATACAAAAATAGTGCGGAAAAATAACTTTTCATCTTGGAGAACGTCGTTTCTTATTTGAATTTGATTGGTTAATGTTTGTATCAATTATTTCCGGAGGGAGATCTTCAAAGTTTCCTGAGTTGTCCATTTTTAATTGAAATTACGTTCAAGGATAAATGACGCTTGAAATGCTTATTTGTTGACCGCTACTACTGACAGTTTATAGCGACTGTTGCTTTAGGTACGTTCTGGAGCCAACAGTTATCACCACATGTCTCCTGGTATTTGGACTTGGACTTTATGGTCGCCATTCTGTACAGCGTGGACATAAAACTGGAGAGTCCGAACTTATTTTATGACAATTCATCTGAAGGAAACTTTCCCATTATTTAAAGATGAACGTGGCGGCACCGCAAAGTTTAGTAGTAGACGAGCAACAATCGTAGTGAGAAATATCATTTTTGACGTTTTTGTTATTAATGGTTTGTCGTCTGTTGTGTAATCAGTTTTCGGTGGTTCTGTAAATCATTCAATATTATCAAGAAGTAGAAATGCCTATGTAATAACATCACTCAAAGTCGCGTTCATTTCAAGATCTTTAATTATAAATCAACTTTTCCAAATTAAAACATCCAGAACAGTTTCGATCAGGTCAGCGGGGTTCATACACGTCAGTTCCTGTAGAATTTGCAAAAACCGCTTACCGTGCGATAATACCTAGGTGGTGGCCATTCCCATTGCGGAAAATTGCAAACCTAGCATAGATTATTATTAATACAAGTTATTAGTAATTATCAATTAAAAAATGTTCGCCGTTTCCCCGACTTCAATCCTACTGGTCAACCCCATGCTAGACGTTGTAATGTAAGTACTGTTGTTGTTTTGCGTTGTGTCTCATTTGGCAAGCCATTATGTTCTTTTTCTTTGCTAACCTGCCATGTGGCAAGCATTTTTTCACGATTGTTCCATTTAATCTTGACTCTTTATTTGGGGATGAATGTGTTTGGGTGGTGAAATGATCAAAACCTCTCGTCGAAAAGCCAAGCGAGTAGCTAAGTTACGACCTATAGGAGGGTCAACATCTGAGTTGCCACAATATCATATATCTAGAGCAGGATATTTTTTGAATGAATATGATTCGGCAGTGTTAAATCTATGATGAAAATTTAGTTATAAAAAATATCGTAGCCTGGTATTTCACGGGTACGTAGAAATTCAATCAAGTGTCTGTGTTGTTTAATGACTTGCTTTTGTTCATGAAGAGTGTTTGAGATATTGAAAATATTAAATAACCTCACTAGACGTTACAAAATTACTTATTGATGCACAGAGTTATCCCCACCATTCGGGATTTCATTCATTTATCTGTGTTTGGCGTAGAGGATTGTTTGCGCATACATTTTAATGATTTTTGAATGAATATGAATATTGTTGTTCAGTCTGAGGGTGGAACATCGTAAAAAATATATCGCCGTAAGTCATGAGATACCGTGAAAACGAGTGATTCCGATTAAAAGTTGGTAAAAATACCAATGAATTCGGAACATTTTATGAAAAAATTCATTTTCACCTGGTAACTGGTAGTATGGATTCGTTCGAATTTTGCTGGGGTCTCGGAGACGGGTGCATATCGTCCTCGTCATCTCCATAGTCATAGTCCAACAGTTTTCTATCGAAGTGGACTTGCTCAGCCCTCGCGGAATTCTCCACGTTTTTCGTTATGAGTCTCTGCAACTGCTGGAGTTGCTGGATGACACTGGGATCGGAGAAGTTCTGAAACCCAATCAACTATTTTAGACTTAGTCATCCGATTGAGTCCGTAATTTAATAAATAAATATTGAGACTTTCATTGGTAGTTGGGCACTTATTAATGGGCATGTTCATATGTCTAAATAAGTGTTCATTTATAAGGGAAAATATGATTTACAGAAAATTCTTTCACTATAATCCTCTGGAGTTCCGATTCAAACTTTTTATATTATTTCATTGCAAAACATTCAATCTTATCATGACTTTAATTCTATTTTTGAACGAAACTTCGCTGATGAAACAACTTTTGTTTGTGTTATTTGAATTTCAATGAATAATGGAAGTAGTTTCATATCGTTTTCAAGAACTAGACTTTAGAATTATACTTTTCATTCATTTGAGAAGAACAAAATACCACCATAACGAGTATTTTTGATATGCTCACCTCAAGAAAAACTAAATTTTTTTTCACATCGTTTTTTTTTTTATTTTCTGGATCGCATACGGAATTTTTATCATTTTTGTTGACCTCAAAACGTCGTTTATTAACATTACAACTTGAAATTACATATTGGCATAATAAAGGTTTTAGCCATTCATAAACTCATAAATAACTTTTTTCCAATGCCTCCAAAAGCTCTATCCATCTTTTCTATAATTCTTCAATTCATGGAATGTTTGCAATGAAAGAAGTTTTTTGACAAAAAGGAAATGCATTCAATTTTGAGATATATGTAACTATCTGTAAACTATCAAAAAAATAATCAAGTTTCACCAAAATTACTAACAGATTTGCTTGAGTCTGATCACTACTCCTATTATGCAAAAGAATTGATATAATATTTTCAAATAAGTTGATCTAGCAAAAAATAGCTCATTTCTAAAGATAGATGAAAAAGCGCTCAAAGTATTTCAATTCTTGTGCCACTTCTTTGCTTTCTGCCGCTTTTTGTATGTTTTCTACTAGTGAATACTGAATGAACATTACCTACTGTGGAGAGTCTAAATGATGATGACACATTATTCAGAAATTCCCTTTTAAATCAGTACAATTTGGAAAAATGTTAATCTACTTGTTAATATGTTCATATACTAATATTAATAAGAAATACTACACTGATATTTTTCAAAGTACAGACTGAGCATGAAAATATACATAATACTGATGAAATATTGTACATGACTAGAAGCAAATTCCCAATTCTGGTAGAAAAATTCGATACGTGAGATTATTATAAGAAATATACAAGTTCATTTATTTATATACAAAATGTAAAGGAAGTCAAATATTATAAATTAAATGAAGTGAAATATCGAAATATTAATGAAAGAATCATAAAAATATCATAACAACAGGTGTTTACACAATATCAACATCCCAATGACCAATTTATTTCATAGCAGTAAACGATGTACCACTGACATTTCAAGTTAATGACATGAACAAATTTATAGCCCATTTGATCAAAGACCTAGAAACATTTTTTTACAGTGCAAAGGATGTGAGAACTTTATAAACACCAGTTATTTATAAGCATCTGATTTAAAATTTTCTTTGTAGTCAGGATCCTCAAATTTCAGCCGAGTTCATTTATGGAGTTAGAGAGATGAAAACAAAAAACAAAGACTGATTTTATAGTTCATTTGATTCAGATTTTTCCAAAATGATTCCAAAACTCCGAATCAAACTGATCTCATGTGATTTTTTAAACATGGTTTTATTAAGAAATCTTGAAGGAAAATGGGAATATTTAGTGCTATGACAATAACTAAAGCTTAAATAATTTTGATATATTCAGAAAATGCTAGATATTCCTAGAGAAGTGAATTTGGGTTCACTCAAAAAAAACTCAAGCATATGGAATATTTGTCATGTTTCTTCAGAATGAGTTAAAAAAAAAACTATGCAAAATCAAATCTTTTAGTTTGCATCAATTGCAGACAAATAATACTATAATCAAAACATCAAAAAACAACTTCAAAAATTATTTGTTCTGATAATATCGCTAATCCAAGTGATAAAAAAAACAGTCTGTTAAGTGAATACCAAAGCTGTCAATGCACTGGCGTTTTCACAGAATGATTCAATATTGTTCAGTAGTGCTTCTATTATGTCAACATTGATTTTTAGACTAAAAACAAACAAATACATACTGGAGTAGATATACATGATATGAAATCAACACCAGATTAAAATTATATGAATACTATTCATATAGTATTTATTCTGACATATAAAGTTCATTTGATTTCTGATCATTCATCATATAAATAATATTTCATGAGATCATGTTTGAACTCTTCAATATCCTATTTCAATTATTCTTTCTGTAACAGAATTCTACAAAACCAGACAAGAGGATATTTTGAATATTTCTCAAAACTGCCTGTTGGATTCCTTTTTCAACAGCTTACAATTATTTCACCTTCAAGATCTCAAAATAAACCAATGTCTTTACTTCATATTGATTTGAGGTCATTACAATTATATTTACATTGTTTTACCTCCAATTCCTATCTAACTATATTAGTGATAAACAAAACATTTCTTTTACAGGTTAAAAAAACACAACTGTGTGAAAATCCCAGAATGAAAAGATATTTTTCAGTTCTTGATATCAGAATTTTCGAATCATAGCAGCTCAACGTTTTTTTTTTCATTTGATCTTGATAAAAAAAAACAAAATGAAATATTTTATTCCATTGAAAATAAATGTGGTCAAGAATATCAGTAAGTCAATCCATCAATCATTTTTTTAAATCATCTCAAAAGCTACCATGATGCGAAATATTCATTCAAAATGATGCGGCCGCTACTTAGTGAAAATCCCCATCAAATCAAAAAACTACACAAACGATAATATTTCCACAAAATTCTCGAAATAATAATGTTTTCAAATAACACATACAGTAGGTTCCTCAGGAGAAATACTCCTCCAATGAACTAACTTAACATCGATTTGCCTAACTTATAAAAAGAGACTTAGACATAACGGCATATGTTTCAACTTTGCCATTTTTTATTCATAATTCTTACAAAAATAAATTAACAAATCAATGGTTTGGAATTTTGGATAACACTATGAAATCCTCTCTTCAAGTGTGGCAGGAGAATAAAAGATTTGATCTGTCAGTAACCAATCACTGGACATCCTTAATATCGAGAAATATCTTATGGCAAGCAGAATGTGTTAGGCAAGTTAATGTTAGGTTATGATTTCGAATTGACTCGGCCGTTACTTGATGAAATTCCATGGCAAATGTAGAAACTTCACAAACGATAAGATTTCCACAAAATTCTCAAACACACGACATGTTTCGCTAACACAGTAGATTCGTCCGGTGATCATGAATTTTGTGGAAATCTTATCGTTTGTGAAGTTTTTACAAATGTTAGGTTAGTTTATAGTATGAATATTTCACTTGATTGAGCTGCTGTTGTAGCGAAAAATGTCGTTTCTTTGAGAAGTCCGTGAAAACCTGACGTGGAATCGTTCGTGATAGCTCAAGAGCTGGTGGCAAAAAGAGTTTAGAAATGGCCCATAATTCAATATAATTTAGTATTGTAGGTAGTGGAACAACTGTAGGTTGGTAGGCTGTAGGTAAAATCACGACATGCTCTACGAGTGTTTAGTTATAATTGAAAATTGGTAGGAACCTAGTTCATAGTATAGAAAAACTAGGGAAAGTGGTCAGACTCGATGGTTGTGGAATGCGGCGAGTCAGCACCCCACAAAAGTTGTCGCCGAAACGATATCGGTGCAAGAGTTTAGTTATGACCGAAAAATCCTGTACTGCTTTATTATCATAAATAATGTAATAAATATAGTCTGATAGATTTTTTCATAACCATTTTTATTTGGCGGCTTAGGTTAGGAGTTCGCATTGGTATTCACACACCAGAGTTCAGAAATGACAGAAACTCTACACACCGACTGATGACGTCATCACTCTAGCTGAAAGCACTTTGAGCGAGTGCTGACTACCTCTGTTCCATCAATTTGTGGTCTGACTATTTTTTTATTACATTATTTATAATAATAAAGCAGTACAGGAATTTTCGGTCATAACTAAACTCTTGCACGTTCCGGCGACAACTTATGCGGGGTGCTGACTCGCCGCGTTCCACAACCATCGAGTCTGACCACTTTCTCCCGTTTTTTTATACTATGAACTAGTTTCCTACCAATTTTCAATTATAACCAAACACTTGTAGAGTATGTCGTAATTTTACATACATCATAGCGCGCTGCCACCATGTTGCACTACCTGACCTTACGGGTGGGTGGTGACTCATGTACACCCTCAATACTACATCATATTGAATTATGCGCCATTACTATACTCTTACCGATTTTTGCCGCCAGCTCTTAGACTATGAGGTTTTAATGCCCAAAGAAATCGCCCCAAAAAAATTCGGCAGCATTCATATCAAGTACTGTCTGTAGGTTAATCGAGGAGGTGGTACATGATTTGTCCCAAAATGTCAATGTGTTTAAAGAATTTTCCTATCAGAGAGCCTAAAAGAAAAATTCACTAGCTTGTCAGTGACAATTTGTTTTAAAAAAGGTTTGGACAAGAGAAATAAAGGTATATAGAAAAAATATCAAATTTTCTCTTAGCTTTGGACGTTTCGGGAACGAATCTGCTCCCGTTTTCAACATAAAAAATGATTATTTGAATAGCAAATTCGCATCTGTCTTGAAACTTTTCAATTGTAACTTCCAGTCTAAGTGTATAGATAAGAGCTCAACAGGTTCACTGTGATTGCTGTTTGTAGTAGAAAAGAATATATTTTGAGTTTTTGTTTCATTGAGAGTCAGAGAGTCTGTGCAGAACCATTCTTTGGATATTGACTCAGGCTGTTCTAGATTGATAAGTGATTCTTGACTGATCTTGCTAGTGGCTATATAAGTTGCATCATCAGCGTAGAAAATTGGTTCTACAATTTGACTAAGATTAATAGCCAGATCATTGAAATAAATGATGAAAAAACTGTATTTCTCTTCTCCAAACCTTTTTCAATACAAACTGTCACTGACAAGCTAGTGAATTTTTCTTTTAGGCTCTCTGATAGGATAATTCTTCAAACGCAGTGACATTTCGGGGCAAATCATCTGATTTGTCCTTACTACACGTATATTGGAATAATATTCATATTTTTATTTTGTAGAAACGAGGAGAGAAAATCCCAAAAAATCTGGAATAATGAATATTCATATCAAGATTTCACGAATTGTCTGCCAAATCTTTTCGTGCCCCCCGGACAATCGTGTCTTCCTCGGCTCATCTATTCGTTTGCAAAAATCCCACACAGTGTCTCTCTATCCTTCTGCGCTTTGCCGCAATTTCTACCAATTTTAAATTCGGAACGATAAGTACCAAATTAGGCGTAGCTCCATGGACACTGTCATTTCCTGGTTGATTTCCCTTGGTCGGTGTACGCTGCAAGGCTGGGGAACCTAATATGAACAACTTATTTAGACATATGACGGCCCATCGCAGCATGCCAAAACAAAAATGCACTAGGACATTCTCGAAAGGAGTTGTGACGTTGGCATGCTGCAGGTAAGATGTACGACAGAATGGCAATACTTTACGAACCTTTGATGATGGAGCCTGTCGAGTTGTTCAATCCGTTCGAAGATTGTTGTAGTTGTTGCTGTTGTTGTTGCAGCTGCTGCTGCTGCAGTGCTGAGTTCTCCAGTTCTTTATAGATCGGATTATTCGGATCGGCGAGGTCGAACAAGGGTTGGATCACGTCTGGTTGAAAAACGTTATTCTTTTGCCACAGGTTCAGTACCCTGATGATTTTACTCTGGAAAGAACATTTTCAGAACTAAATGATAAGCAGGGGAACCTAGAATCTTAAGACTAAAAAATCTAGAGGACTTCAATGCAGTGAGGACATAATAGTAGTACTAGTAGTAGTAGTAAAACAGTACCTTTTATCTGAATTTTACCCGATCTCGCGAGCTCATTTCGTTCAAAAGATAAAAGGAGGGGGGCGAGGTTTTACGTTCTCGATGTATATGCTACAAAGCAAAGCTCGAATTGGAGAGTAGGACGTAGGACGATCTAGCCTTTAGAGAAATCTAGTAACAAAATTGCAAAGGTGGATAAGTATAAATTGTTCGAAGGACCGTACTTTGCAGATTCCTACATCTGCCCTACAGAGAGAATAAATGTCACAACTCTGCAGACTATCTAACACAATAATAATAATTAGTATCTTTATTCCAAAGATGAAGGTGAACATACAATGTATCTCACTTCTAATGTAAACACTCCTGTATCTTTGGTTATTGTTGACACAGGATTTTGAAATTTGCAGTATTTTTAGTATATCTCCCATATACTGAAAATACACACTCAAGTGGTCAGGTTGGGTTATACAGGGTGAGTCAGAATAAGACCGACAAACTTCGTACAAGGATTCATCACCTCATTTTAAGGTGAAAAGTTCCTAGCAACGTATGTCCCAAAATGCTTCCTCACTGAGATACAGGGTGTCGAAAGTGTGAAAAATGGTTTCTCTGAATTTCTCCAGAACCCCTGTTGCACAAAAATTGAAACTTGGTATACCAACCCAGATTAACCAGAGTAATCACAGTGGGTTTTTATTTCTGAATTTCGTCAACCAGTGGCGTAGTAAGAGTCGTATGTCGCCTATATACAGGGTGTTTCAAAAAAACCTAACCCCCTTGCTAGGGTAGGTAGATCATTACAAAATAAGTTGGGTTTGCTCAGTGAAAAAATGGCATCCGTTTTCAAGATACAAGGTGTTGAAAAAATATTTGTTTTACACATTTTTTACGATTATGTCGAAACTGCTGGCAACATTGTAATGAAATTTCGTATGGATGTGTTCTGGAAGCTGACACACCGCATGAATTTGTTTTTATATCGGACACTCATAGAGGGCGCTAGTTACACGGTTTGTACCGATTACTTTTGAACATAACTTTTTTGAGGTTGGATTTTTCAGTCCAAATTCGATGTGAACTTGAACATCATTCAATTTTACAAAAGGTGTTCTTGGTAAAACTTGATACTGTGTACCGTTTTCGGGATATTTCTTGAAAATGCTGAAGTATAACACTGATGCTAGTTGAAAGTATAAGTATTATAAAAGACTGTTATTACTATCACTGAGTGTTATTTATTGATAACCAAAACCAATGAGATCATCCTGATGTGGGAGTTATCAATTGAACAGAGTCATGAAAAAAAATTAAATAAATTCAACTAAAACATGTAATATTCAATCAGTGAGTGTTCTAAATGTGTTATAGTATGAGTTACCTTCGAGACTCTAATGCCAATAACATCGATTCATTGTTAATAAATACGTTGTTTGATAATCAGAAGGTATTCAAATGCTGAATACACCGATATGTTATTGATCTTAGGCGAGTGTGCATGCGATTTCAATCCATTGGACTACACAGTTTGGTCCTATATTAAGGAAAAGGTCTATGATACAGAAATAAATTCATGTCAAGATCTGCAAGAAAGAATTGAACACCACTTCGATGATCTCATGGCTGATCCTCAACCGTTAAGAAGATTGTTGCTTTCTTTATAAAAAAGGATCGGATTGTGTATTCGTGGAAACGGAGGACATTTTGAGCACTTACTCTAACTAGATGATGTTTTTAGTCAAATTTGATTAAATATTTTCCGATCTGATTTTGTTCAATCGATTACTTCAGCAGTAAAATAATGTTGATGTTATTTGTCTAATTGAATTCAGTTCATTGTACCAGTATATCACCTGACGAAGCTACTGTGCTAGCGAAACATGTCGTGTGTCTGGGAATTTTGTGGAGTTGTATTTAGGATCAACGTTATCGAGTCTGAGCAATCTTAAAAAACAGAGCTTTGGTAGTCGATGGTTGTCCATTGAGTTGAGAAGTGCAAAATGTGAAAGAGCAGCAGTGAAAATCAGATGAGAAAGTTTTATTGAGGAAGTTTCCAGACGAACAATATAGTCTGGAGTATTTTTAGGGAGTGACAGTAAACGTTTGAAAAAATTAACTTGAATCCGTTCTATAACGTCAACATAACGTAGTTCCCAAATTCCAATGGAATATGCAAGGGATGACACAATTATGGATTCAAACAATTTAATTCTAGCGTGCCATGAGTTAATTTTAGATCTGCACATGATATTCATAACAGCTCCGATAGCACGATTTGATTTAGTTACGGTATCCTTAGACATTTCGAGAAAACAAGTAGAAGAAAATATCACCCCAAGATAGGAGTACTTTTTTACAACTTCCAATGGTTCATTGTAGAGATAAAATTTGTTATTGAAATTGAAATGGTACCCACCCCTGCAGAACACCATAATTTTTGTTTTTTGAGTGTTGACGGTCAACTTATTCTCTGCTGAATACTCTTCCAGAGTTTTCAATTTGCGAGCAAGATCAACTTGTGAATCACTAAATATGATTAAGTCATCAGCATACAGCAGTAATAGAGCGCTGTGTGAGTTGTCAATGCTCACGCCAGAGTGGCCTTTATTGAAAAAGTATTCCTCAATATCCGCGAGGAAAATAGAAAGTTTTTACATTTGTCATGGATTTTCATCGAGTAACGGCAGAGTCATTTAAAAAAAAATATGACAAATTAATATTCTTCTGTAGTAGTCCATGCTCAAAGTGGAGTGGAATGATCAATAGAGAAAAAAAAACCAAAGTCGTCTCCACAAAAAAAAAAAATTGTGGAGACGACTTTGGGTTTTTTCTCTATTAAATTAATATTCATCATGCAGGACGTGGACAGAAATTCTGAATTGAGAAAACCTGATCATGAATCTGCGATTGAATGTCTTTAAAAATAACAAGTTTCCATCGTTCAAGTTTGAACCCATTGATTGGGTGATTGAAAAGGAAAGAATTGATATTTTCATCACATAGAGAATGCGAATTCTCAATGTATTTCTTCAAATACAGGGTGGCATTGAAATAAGTGCAAATATTTCAAATACTGAGAAAGCTCGACGTGTACCGGGTGTACCACTAAGAAAGGACGCCGGCTGTATCTCGGAAACTATTTGCCGCACAGGTTTCGAAAAAAAATATAAATGATGAAAGTGGCCAAGAGAAATCTCTGGAAATTATTTTCAAGTTTCCAGTACAGCCCCTAGACGGCGTAAGTGCATTGGCCAGTTTAATAAACGGGTTTTTCATGAAAATTTTGTGTATCAAAACATATCAAAAACAATTTTTTCATGTTCTCGAGTTGATTTCCAATCATTTCGATCAATAAAAATTGCGCTAGCTCTTTAAATAGAAGAGGGAGGGAAGGATGAATAGTACTTTGAAAAAACTCTCATTACTACATTTTGGTGTAACGGAATTCAACGATCTTGGTCTCATTATGAAGGGTTTTTTTGGTTCTTCCAGATGAATCACGAATCAAGTCGATTTAAATCCCGTGGTGGCCGCTAGATGGCATCGTTTGAAATATCAGACAATTTTCCATTTTGTTCGAAGATTTCAAATGGAACCATATATTCATTCTACTCTAATATGAAAGTAGAGCAAACGAGAAGAAAAATGGTGAAAACCGCGAATTGATACCTCTTGAGGAACCGGTGAAATACTCGAAATAATATTATGAAAATATTCACCACAGAAATATGACTTCAATAATCGTAATCAGAAATATCCTGTATCTATGAAATTATGATTTCAATAATTCATTTATTTTGGTTTCACAAACTGCTGTTTTATCTCACAATAGTGAAGGAGACTCATAGTAATGACATAACTAATTGAAATGTAAGTAGTGAGTAGGCTCAGGAATGAGAAAAGGCAAGTTGGCTTTGAATGAAAGAAACGTCGAAATATAATTGAAGTTCCATTGAAAGTTTTCACTGTTCATTGTGGATTGCTTATTTGTTAAAATGCCGATAACGAATGAGGAGGCATTTGACATGTTATAACGGTTTACATTTTTATATTATTCCGAGTATTTCTCCGATTCTTCAAGAGGTATCAACTGCAGGAAAATATATATGGTTCCATTTTAAATTCTCGAAAAAAAATGGCAAATCGACTGATTTTTTAAACGATGCCATCTAGCGGCCACCACGGGATTTAAATCGACTTGATTCGTGATTTATTGGGAAGAACTGAAAAAGCCCTTCATAATGAGACCAAGATCTCTTAATTCCGTTACACCAAACTGTAGTAATAAGAGTTTTTCCAGAGTACTATTCATCCTTCCATCCCTCTTTTATTTAAAGAGCTAGCGCAAATTTTTTTCGATCGAAATGATTGGAAATCAACTCGAGAACAGAAACACTTGTTTCGGATATGTCTTGATGAATAAAATTTTCATAAAAACCCGTTTTTTAAGTTGGCCAATGCAATTATGCCCTCTAGCGGCTTTCCGGGAAACTTGAAAATAATTTCCAGAGATTTTTCTTGGCCACTTTATCATAAATATTTTTTTCCGAAACCTGTGCGGCAAATAGTTTCCGAGATACAGCCGGCGTCTTTTCCTAGTGGTACACCCGGTACAATCGAATGGCACTAATAAAAAAAATTCAGGGATCAAAATAAAATTTGAGGTTAGACTCCTTTTTCCACCCAAAGTAGTAGTCACAATCACGCGGAGTTCAATCATTTAAATTGTTTTAAAGTGGCGTACTTGATTTTTTTATCGTATTTTGTCCAATTTTTGGGATGGAATTTCTCGATAATCAGAAGAATTATAAAAAATCTGATATCATGGGAATACTCCTTTGACTGTATCATATTGATGTGCTGAATATGTGCACTTATTTCAAAAACACCTTGT